TTCTTTTTTTTTTTTTTTAAAAAAAAAGAAACTACCCAGAGCTCTATAGAACTTCTTCAGGTCTGATGCTTAAAGTGTTGACTGTTCGCCGGCCAGCGCTATCAGAACTGAAGCTCAGTTTACGGGCATTATATTTGCGTAATCATCCTAGGTTGGTATGTGCTTGCTTCCAACACAAAGGAGTCGCTGTTGCTTCAAAGCATACATACGTATAATAATATCATGCGTGGAGGAACGAAAGAAGAATCAAGAAAAAGGAATGCACAATCAAACCTTTCAATCCCTTTCTCTTTTATCCTTTTCTTGGTGTTATTTGGGTAGACCTATCAGAGGACAAATGAAGTTGAGATTCAGAGTAGTTACTCGTCGGTTGATTGGCCGCTACCAAAGGACTGAACGAAATTTCAAATAGGAAGAATCATAGCAGATCTGTTTCTTCTTCTTTTCCAAAAATAATCCAGTTAATCGATGGTAACGGTGGCAGTCTATATCAGCCTTATCTCTAGGGCTGAGCGTAGCATACCGAAAACGGAAATGCAGCCAACATCAACCATACCGACTGTGGAAAGCCATCACCCTCGCCGGCCCGCTTAAATAAACCAAATTCCTCTGCAAAATTCCAGTCCGGAATCATTCGGTTGCATCTGGCCCTGAATGGAGTTACATTCATCTTTTATCTCGCGATCGACCCAGTCACTCCAGCGTTCCTTCCTTTGTGGTCCATACTTAGGATGTCCACAGTGGTTATGGATTCGAACACATCCTGTGAACCTTCAAATACCAGTTGTATCTACATTTCCCAACTCAGTCACCATTCACTGAATAATAATAATGTCTTTATCTGCACTCATGACATAGTTCGCCAAGTCGCTCTTTAATCCTACATTCGTTTGATTGTCATCTTACTTGTCCTTCGTTTCTGTTCTCCTCAGCCGACATCTCAATCCACTTGATTCCGCTTTACATGATACTTCAATCTATCTAGTAATCTTAATACTGTTGTCCCGTCAGCTGCTACGAGGATGTTGCAAACACAACTACCAGCGGCCCCGATACGCGCTGGACCCCCATCGCAGACTGTCGAAACGGATCTGCCACCAGCCAGACCAACAGCGCCGGATCCATCACATCGATTTTACAGATCGATGGACAGCGTCAGCCGAGCCGACTCACCAAACCCCACAGAACCAGTATCGACAAACGAAGACGAATCCCAAGCCTCCATCGAAGACACCAGAAGAGGAGCCCTACACACCCTCTCACTCTGCCAAAGTGTCATCACGACGCTTGAACTCACCCGCCTCCGCAAGTCCCGAACAGGCGTCTTCTACTGGCTCGCCTTTTGGGAGCGACTCTATCCACGGGCCTTCGCACGCTCCCTTGGCTCACGAGTCAATGCCGCCCTCACCAAAGTCGACATCCTATTCCGCACCGTAGCAAACGAACTCCACCAGCTCACCCTGCGAATGGAGTACGCCATCGCGCACGCCCCGACTGAGAAAGACATTCTGCTTATACTGGAACAAATGGAAGACGAAGTCGGCGTGCGACGCAGACGCAGACGCAAGAAGGCGCAAGCCATCTTGAACAAAATGCGCGTGCATATCGAGGGCATCCCGGTCAAGGTGAGCGATGAGCTCTTCGATGACATGAAGCGGGGTGTGTTTGCTTTAGACGTCTTCTGCGACTATCATCCTGGAGATCCGGTGGCGGAGGAGCACGAGACCATGTGGCCTGAGTATTTTGTTCAGCAGTCGGGTATGGGCATGGTTGCTGTCTCGCCTTATCTTTATCGCCAGTGGCAGCAAGAGGCGGCATCGGCAGCGTCGGGGTCCTATATGCCTTTGACGAGTTATACAGGGAATAATGCTGAGGTTGAGTATCTAGAGGAAGAATATCATGGGGCTGACAATTGGAGGCCTGATGGTAGTCGGTCGGCGAGGCGTTGGTGAGATGATCTGATTTGGGTGGCTTTATTGCTGTTCTTCTGGAGTTGGGGTTATGGCGTTTGAATGCTGGAACTTCTTCGTAATGTTTTGTTTAGATAGATCCATTATTCCAGTTAGCTCCTGCTTTTAGGGCAAGGTGGTCTATTAACTAGACTTAATGATAAACTAAGACTTTTTGTTCACGGTCTTGATGTGTAAACTTATATTCGGTATGTTAACCAAACCAAACCAATTATATACGCTAAAGAAGAAAATGAAAGTCTACCTGTGCATCGCGCGTAACCTTTATGCAAAATCCCATAACCCTCTGACAATGCTCCCCGGTGCGGTATCTACGCCTCCGTCCTCTTCCAACATTCGATCGGTAAATATCCGCTTGGGGATGTGATACTCAATAACGGGGATCCGCTTCATGGGTTTCTCCTCAGTTCCCAGTTCCGCTTGCACCATGCCCTGGTAGGTATAGTCCAGGAAATCTTCAAGGTTATAGAACTGTTTCGTGAATTGCTCAGATATAATGCGTGCAATCGCGGCAACGTTGGGATGATAGTGTTGTTGGAGGGAGTGAATTTCCCATAGACTGCTCTCTATGGCGTTTGTGCGAACTGGATCGGGCTCCTCTGGATCGAACGGGTCGTCCATGCCCTCAGCTTCCAATTCGGCTTTGACTTCGTCCTTGATAACGCGGTGGAGCATGAATGTGCAGGTGGGGTGGGATTTGAGGAGGTTGTAGATGAAGGGGACGATCACAACGATGGCGGTTGGAGGGGCGTTAAGCGCAAGACGAGAGAGACGTTTGATGAAGCTGGCGATAAGAGTAGCCGGCAAATGGGTGGAGGCGAGGAAAGTGTTCATCAAGCGGAAGAAGCGGGAACGGTGTTTGGAGTGGAGCAGGTCGGCATCGAGGAGCGAGTAGAGCTTTTGATAGAACTGTGGGTAATCCAGGTTCTTCTCCTGGATGAGGTAGAAGAGACCGGAGAGGGCGAGCAGGGAGGTTGCGCCGCCGACGTCGTAAGAGTCTGTGAGGAAGTCCATGAGCAGTTCAGGACGGCTGAACCAGGGCTCGATGTTGTGGACCATGATACGGAGGAGGGTCTTCCGCTGGGATTCAGAGATGTTGTTTCGGAGGACGGCGAGCCAGGCGTCTTGGGCGCGCTTCTTGTGGGAATTAATGGAGACGAGCTTCTTGTTCTTTTTGCTGGATTTGACGTAGAAGTTCTTGAATTCGTGCTCGGGGCTCGGGACCGTGTCGCAGGATGAAAGTATGGAGATGAGGATGTCGAGGGTTTCTGTGCTTTGTTCCGTATCTGCGATATCGCTTCGGGGCTTGTTAGCACTGTCTGGGACTTTTCAAGGGGATGTGGTGGTGTGGCATACGCAATCTGCACGAATGTATAGAACCGCACGTCTTCGTATGCCTTTGCGAACTTCTCGAGGAACTCGGACCGCAGTGCCTCATTGTCGCCGGTTTCGATAATGGCTTCGATGACATTCTTGAACAGACCAGATAACCAGACCTGAGTGTCCTCGCCAGGGATATGGGTAGCACGTTCGCTGATCATGCGCATGCAGAGTGTGAGGGCTGTGAGCTGCTTGGGGTTAGCATGAGTTGGACTCAGGAGCCATCTGGGAGCCACGAACCTTAGCAGATGTATCACCCTCACGCAGTATGGCGGAAAGCGCCTTCTGGTATTCGCGACAGCGTTCCTTCAACCATGCCGCAATAATCTTCTCGTTCTCTGCGGCCCTGCTTGTCTCCGCCATATCTCCACCGGCAATCAATCTGCTGAACACTCGACAGAGGGATACTGCGACGGCCAAATTTGGATTGGTAGCATTTTCGTCCACATTGAGCATCGAGATCAACTTGGCGATGTTGTTGTAGTATTTTCGCGACTCGGAAATCTGTTCTTCCAATTGAGAGATTTCGACCATCACATCTGCGCTATCGCTCTCTGCCACTGCACGACGTTTCGACGACGGGACACCGCTCTCTTTGAGGCTCTTTCTTTTCTTGGAGCTCGTGGCTCCGACCGTAGGGGCAGGCATTGTGTCCGAAAATTTTTAGAACGTAGTCTAAATGCAAATCGTACGCCTTTTGGTGCATTTACTCTTCATCAAACCATGAATTTTTGGAAATTCCTCGGTTAACGGTTTTTCCGATCAGCCGCGCTATACTGAAGTAGGCTAGTGTCTTCCCGCACCGCCCAAACCATCCCGACTTCAAGTCTCCTCAGTTCCGTTCATCCATCACATCTTGTCAAGGTCTTCCCATCGTTACAATGGCTTCGCGTCTTGCTAAGAGCGCCATTGGTATGCCTCACGCAACTCTATACGGCCCCGTCGAACACTCGGTTTTTGTCGCTAACCCTAGTTAGGTGCTGCCCGGCTCCGGCCGACCGTCACGCGCAACGTCGCTCCTATCGCCAACCTGACCGTGTCTCGTTCGGCCTCCAGCGTACCTACCGAGGACCCCAAGAAGAAGGCCCAGTCGATTCTTGACGCCCTTCCCGGCAACTCCCTGGTCTCCAAGACCGCCACCCTCTCCGCCGCTGCCGGTCTCTCCATTGCCGCTATCAGCAATGAGCTCTATGTCATGAACGAGGAAACCGTTGCTGCTTTCTGTCTTCTCAGTGTTTTCACCGCTGCTGCCAAGTACGGTGGTCCCATGTACCGTGAGTGGGCTGAGGGCCAGGTCCAGAAGCACAAGGATATCTTGAACGCTGCCCGTGCCGACCACACCAACGCTGTCAAGCAGCGTATGGACAACGTCCAGGAGCTTGCTGGTGTTGTTGATGTCACCAAGCAGCTCTTCGCTGTTTCCAAGGTAAATAAACCTTGCGTTCTTTTGCAATGGGTTAGGCTTTCATGAAACAAGGGATTGCTGACGATCGACCAAAGGAAACCGCCCAGCTTGAGGCCCAAGCCTATGAGCTCGAGCAGCGCACTGCCCTTGCCCACGAGGCCAAGCAGGCTCTCGACTCGTGGGTTCGCTACGAAGGTCAGGTTAAGCAGCGCCAGCAGCGTGAGCTTGCCGAGTCTGTCATCGGCAAGATCCAGAAGGAGCTTGAGAACCCCAAGGTCCTCCAGCAGATCCTCCAGCAGAGCGTTGCCGATGTTGAGCGTAAGTTCCAAGCATATATGCAGTTGTTGCTTTTGTCCGTTTCAATACTAATTTGGATCCATAGGCATCATGTCCTCCTCCAAGGCCCAGTAAATGGACGTTGCATGAATAGCCTCGCTATTAGCAATATGTATAAATTTAAGATCTGTTTCCTGTGCTACATTAGACATACCAATACGAGTTCCTAAGCAAAATAGCTAATGACCTAATGTAAATCGGATCTTTTTCGATATCTCTGAAGAACCTTCCGAACGCTGATCTACCAAGGGATGGGGGACCAAGGCGCCCCTGTCGTTTGAATGTTCAAATACTCAGTATTGGCCATGCACAGGATGCCCTTATTCAAGTCAAACGCCGATTGTCTTCCATGTCTACTGTTAGTTTTTTTTTTTCTTTTCTTTTGTTGCAGTCTGATTTCCGTTTCTTCCAATTCCATTGTGCGTCTTTCACAATTAAAATGCTGGATGGAAGTGAAAGGGACCATCCTAAAGTGTAAGAGACTAGCAAAAAACATAGAAAAAAAATTTAACACTGCTATTTTTTTTTGGACTTAAAAAAACTAACGCTCTATCTAGTGAGTGTACGAACGCCTGATTGTTTGTGGATGGTCTAGGAAGGTGTGGACCATCAGCCTGCATAAAAAGCCTTCGTTGCATGCCTGCTGACAAACCCACTCAATAATGCATGCATTTTTAAGACATTGAGACGTCATCGGATTCAGCTATCTCAGAAGATAGACCCCTTCTGTTGAATCTCCTTCATTGAACCTGGGCCGCTTTTGTGCTTGACTATTGGATCAAATCGACTGCGATAAAGAGAGATTGCGGTACACTTCATTGAGGGTATGCGAATCCATACAATCAGGGGAGATCTTCATGAGTAATCCGCGGGGTAAACGCTTCAACTGTATGGCCGAGCGCAATGGATGCGACAAGAATGACCAGACTCATTGTATTCCGGCAACTGGGGGCCAAGACAACCAAAACAGAGATGAAAGAAAAGCATGACAGGCACTAACTCAAAATATCATCAATTGTCCTTGTACGAGGCTCACCTCTGACACTGCCCCCAACCTCAGCGCTTCTGCCTGCCTCCCATTCGACCAGAAGGCTGAGGCTTTTTTTGCCCGTGTTTGCAAGATATTTCAACGTCAACGGTTCCCCGGTTTTCCATCTGCTTGTCATCTTCTCTCCGCACTTACCAATTCCTCAAATTAAACGCTGCACACAATTCGGGTAGACTTCCCGAGGTCCGCTCCGCAGTTCTCCGAGCGATCAGCTCGCCCTACAAAAATGCCTTTGCGAGAGATACTTCATAAGAAGGACAGAATCAATGATACCAGTGGCCAATATGCAGCGGGTGTCCCCTCCGCGTTTCTGAGCCCGGTTCCTCAAATCATTCGATCCGATACCACCTCCCAGGAAGTCGTCGCCCCACCCATCTACGAAGGTGATGATGTCTATCACCAACAGAACAGACATCTCGAAGTGTCACCGCCTAGCTCTTCCTCGCGCCGTCGGTCACTGAATCCATTTAGTCGCTCGAGAGCGCCATCTGAATCCCTAGGATCTCCACCGTCTCAACCGCGCGAAAGAAGGCTGTCGCAATTGCTTCATCGCGATCGGGGCAGCTCGCGGAATTCCACCGCTACCTCGACCAATATCCCGTCTGATCTTCCGCAGATAAACAATGAGAAAGGTGATGAGCAGGAGAGAGAGGCTCAGTGGGAGAAAAGAGCAACGGTCTTGGTGCAGCGCAATCCGAATCTTGGATCTCCGTTATCGCCTTCTTCGCCGCGCTTCGGGAGACATAGTATAGAATCACGGTCAAGGAGCTCTAGTCGGAGCGGTTTCAGTGATCCTCAAGGAGATGTAAGAGATACACCGCAGTTGCGGTTATACTGATTGTAGATTCGAAGGCTAACGCCATTTATAGGTTAACATCCAAGAAGCGATTCGGCTCCATGAAGCTGGAGGTACGTAGGGAACAAGCCATAATAGAGGCACTCGAAAACATGTACTAACACAGGTTATCCTTGCAGAATTGGAGAAGTCAACGGAAATGTTTCGTCGGTTGGCAGATCCCAACGGTACAAATAACGCACTGAGCCAAGTACTTTACGGCCTCGCACTAAGGTAAGAACTACTCCACAGCATCTTAGGTTCTTTTTGAACCCCTCCTATCAACATCCTACCTTCTAGTGCTGCCTTGTACTTTTCGTATTGCCGGAAACGTTCTAACAGGATTCGTCTCCAGACATGGTTGGGGATGTCCCAAATCGGAAGAACAGGCAGTGACCTATCTCTCAGCTGCAGCATCAAACTCGGCATTGATTGAGTCCCAGGCTCTCCAAGCAGGCATGAAAAAGGGTGGTGCAGCCAAAGGGGAATTGGTCCTTGCTATCTTCGAGTTGGGTAACTGCTTCCGCAACGGCTGGGGAGTCAAGAAAGACCCTGCCGCAGCGCGCCAGTACTTCGAAACGGCCGCAAATCTCGGTGACACTGACGCTATGAACGAGGTCGCGTGGTGTTACCTAGAGGGTTTTGGCGGAAAAAAAGATAAGGTACGTTTGGTTGCATCAGCGCATCCTTCTAGCGATGGTACAAGCTCGAGACTTTTGCTATACCTACCCTGGTCATCATGGTCTCGTTTCTCGGGCATCAATACCTTGAGATTCGCATCACTTTTGCGCTTGGTCCTCTTAGGAACTCTTATTTGTCCAGTTGACTAACCCAGTTGCGTCAATGTTTAGTTCTCGGCTGCTAAATATTACCGATTGGCCGAACAGAAAGGCAGCAAATTAGTTGGGAATTCTTGGTACGTTAGGCCAATCCTTAGAATATTTTTTATTTTTGGATCTTGGGCGTTTCCCCTGCAAACCTCGTTAAGATTGTGGTGAAGTGCCGCCTGTATGGATTCGCGCTTCGCTATCACCTGCAGCTATCATGTCAGGGATCAGCGGCAGCGCTTCAATCGATAGGCTCTCGTCGCATCTTTACAACTGCGCCATGCAAACCGCTCTCACGCCTACAACCAACCACAATGCTCACCCATACCGACCTATGAATTGTCCGAATTTTAGGCTGACATGCTCGTTACTCGAATTACAGGATATGGAAAGAGAAATACGACCCAAAGTGAACCGAATGCTCCCGGTACCTTACAGCCTCGTTCCACCGAGAAACCCCGTTTATGGGCCCGTCTCTTTGTTCATCAGATGACTCTCGACTACATCATTGGAGATAGAGTTATTTCTCAGCTACTGAGATCAGCCAGCCAGACGTCTTCGCTCATAGGATGAGGGGGGAATATCATCGCCCTAATAATGGGGGTGGCCCGTAAGGGAGGCACACTACACACCTACCTTTCACTTCATTACCATCTACGATCCATACTGGGTGCCACAAGCGGAAGGCGCCAGTATGATCTGACCTTTAACCAAGTGACTTGCAACGATGTTGATGACCCAATGCCAGCCTCATTTTGACGGCAACCCAATCTATACCATCGGTACTTTTGCTTAGTGTCTATCTTATTATTTGTATTTCACTTCATTTGGTTTGTCATTCTTGATTCCCTGTTGTACTCTGTTGATGTAACATTGGGCCCGGAAATTTGTTTTATTTGTCAATCTAATGTTGGTTTCCTTCTTGCATTTACATGCTTTGTACCCTCACCGCTGACCTGTTGCTGGTGGGCCTGTGACTCAATGACTTGAGTTCTTGGTGTGATGGTACTACACGCTATTCTTCCCGGGCTCGTGAATAGATTCCAGGAATATGGAGTGAAACACTCGATTTATATATACATGCGTGCTGTACATATTTCCTGGTGAGAGGAAGGTAGTACGTAGAGGCTGAGATTCGGAATGACTCATCGTGATCAGATTAAAGGTAGGTGGGGTTCATGTATGGCTGCATGTAAAGATGTCATTGTGCAGTGCTTTTACACCTTCTGCAGACGGCAAGGAAGAGTAAGTACCCTTACGGTGTACTGATACCTGCAGATGCAAGATCTGGGAACTCGGGAGGATGTGAGACTCATATCGTCATCAATTGATCCAGTGGATTAGAGATATATGCAATGCAAACCATGATTTCATAATACATAGATTTGATTGACAAAAGAAAAGTGATTCAAAGGAATGGCATGGGCTACTGCCCAACGGTAAAGCCATGTGCAAAAGAAAGGCCAGCCCCGCTGAGAGGAGACCCGTATAGAAGTATTTCACAAAGGAAATCAAAAGACAGAAACAAGGCATGCAAGAAAAGGGCCACCCATATGTCGTGGCCCAACTGTCCAGAAAGTATCATCAACATAAAACATTAACAGGCATTTTTCATCATAGAACATATCAGTCATATCATAAGAATAATCGTAACAAGAGAACCACCCTTAGCCCAGTTCAGCTCACTCGCAATGCAACCCAACGCAAGAATAACAAGAGTAAAACAATAGTTCCTGAACCATAATCAATGCGATGCTCATCAAAAAGGTCGTTCTGTGGGACCGTTTTGCTGTTTTCAGACTGGAAACAGCGTCCAGCGTTAAATAAGATCATGCCTCCCCGGAAACTCATAAACAAAATCATGAAAGAAGAACACGCAAGAAGTTTGAGTATACATAGATGCAATATGTTTCTGACTTTCCGTGAGATTCATTCCCAAACCCAACCCAAGAAAACGGTAAATCATATATACGCCGAAAATTCCGAAGGAGCGCGAAAAATATAAACACATCGCTAAATTGTGAGACGAGGTCAATGAAGAGCTAGTCGGTTAAATATATCCAGTCGAAGTAAATGGTAAGCTGTCTATGCATGCATATGGCTAATGTCTGGTTTAATCGTCGTATATCCGTAAGAATAAAAAAAGCGCTAGAGTAAACTGGTTTGCAAACGAAAGAAGACGAGAGAGGCGAAAAAAGCAGAGGAACCGATGAGGACGTTTGCTTTCAAGGAAGGCTAGGTAAGGTGGCTTTCTCTGAATATGGTGAGGAGAGTTGAGATGGATGGTGTACGATGACTTCAGTCCCTGTTGGCTATGCTACTTAGGACTGACTGAAGCCGGCATGTTCTTCCTTGACGGGAGCAACACCGTATTCCTGGACCATTCGTCGGAAGTCCTGGATTACCTTATCAGGAACCCGATCCCACATGAGCGATCTCGAGTAGACATCAGAGGTGGCTTTGCTCGGCATCTTCTGAGCAACATTGCCCCGCATCGCAGCTAACGCTTGTTGGAGGTGGGAAGCCTGTTGCGGCTTGTATTCAGCACCGTTGTCATCATAAGTGGTCAAGGAGTTGTACTGATCAGCATTGAGCGAGAAGACCTGTTCCTGTTCCTGCGCCTTAGTAGGCATCGCCAACGAGTTGTGGAGCTCATCGAGGTTGGACGCGGGGGCAGTGCCTGCAGTCATCTGAGCCATCTCCGCCCCACTAATAGTTGTCGGGAGCGGGCCAGCCGACGCAGAGACGGCGGCCTGGTTCGAAGGCTGTGCAAGTTCTGGTGGGGAAGAAGACAAGACGGCCTTGAGGACGTTGGCAGACTCCGCGCGGTATTCCTCCGACAGCTGCGGAATAGCGCGAGCAGAAAGAGAAGTACCGTTGGAGGCGATGAAGGCACCAAAAAGGAGACACATGTAGAAAGCGTTCCAGCTGAAGGGGTAGTCACTGTTCGCAGATTTCTCTGTGCTCCTCTCGTTGGCAGGAGCACTAGTAACTGGATCAGCCTCCAGGGAGAGGCTGTTGACCATGGTAAGTTCCTCCCAGGGAGTGTTGTCCATGGTGAGGTTCTCGAAGTCAGAGAAGTCAGTTGCCATATTGGAGGTAGAGGGTCTGGCATGTCTCTCAAGCTTCTCCACGGTTTCCTTAAGGATGTTGTTCTTCTTGCGAAGCTCGGCGGTCTCCAAGGTATGCACGCGGATCAGTTCCTCCTTTTCCATGGCCATATTGTTGAGATGGTGGTAGAGCTCCTGTTGCGCACCGAACAATTCGTTCTTCTCGCGCATAAGTTCAGCCTCCCGTAGCCTCATGTTTTGCAAGTCCTCCTCGAGGTCGCTGATGATCTGGGTGAACTGCTTCTTCTCTTCCTCCAGCTTCTCAGTATGCAACTTCTTCCGTTGGCGCGAATCCAGACTAAGTGTAATTGTTAGTGAACCATGAAGCCGGACAGCCAGTGAGGGTTGTACTTACGCAGCTTGACGGTTTCTCAGCAACCGCTTCTGTTGCTTCAGCTCCTTGATCTCCTCCTCATTGGTCGACTGGGAGATTAGCTGGTCGATGTTGCTTAACGTCCGCTCTGCTGGGATCTCAAAACGAGCATTCTTTTTTCGAATTCCATCCCGTCGGATGCTTAGTGGAGAGCTATTCCGATAAGTAGGGCTCTTCGTGGTGCGAGCAACAGCATCCGGCATGTCGGTGGATGCAGGCATCCATCCTTGACTGGACTGCGGGGACATGGCCACAGCACTGGGATGCGCAAAGGCCATTCCGGGACGGTAGGACATGGACGGGATGTTGATGGTGCTCACCGGACCAACAGCACCCCCCGAGAACGGCGCCGACGAGCCGTTGTCGAGGTCCGATGGGAAATGATGGTCGTACATGGCGGCGGGCGTGCATGAGCCAGTCTCCTTGGAAAGCGCCCAAGATGCCTGCTGGCCGTACGCGGTGGCAGGGTGGTGAGCACCGTCCAGTCTCATGAAAGGATTCGGAGCGGACTCGAAAAGATGATGGCCGACATGGGAGTTATGCCGGGATTGGTTGCTGTGAACGGACTGGGAGAAGTCGGACCAGACTGAATCACGATGTGAGAAAGCATCCGGTGCATGATCATATGAAGAGCGCCGGTGGTCGGCAATGGAAGATGAAAGTTCGGGCGACGTCGAGTCGAGAATCTTATCATCCAATACACTCATCTCGTCTTCCTCGGGAAATGAAGGCTTTGCATCCAAATTTGAGGGAGATTGTTGGTAAAAATCAAATGACGGTTGAGAATACCTTGCCATGACTGTGAATATGTGTGTATACGATGAAAATGAAGAATGAAAAAGGTTGTTTGGAGACAAGCGCCGTGATAGTAGTCAAGAGGCGGTGTGTAATCTGATTGTACGGAAAAAACGTGCGGGGTTTTTTTATTTGGGTGGTTGGATTGAGGATATGATGAGGACAAGTAGAGAAGAGGGAGAGAGACAGGATGATTGGATGTCACGGTATAGAGAATGAAGGCGTTTATAAAAAAAAAGAATAAGAGTAGAAAGTAGGTAGAAAGTAAGGTCGATAGTGGAGGTAGAAGAGTATGGAGAAGAGGAAGTAAAAGTAGGGTGGTAGTCAAAGTTCGAGGGGAGGAAAAGAAGAAGATCGGTTTCTTGTAAAGGGGAAAGAAGAGGTCTCTTGTGATCAGGAGAAGCCTCTTTGCTAAAAAAAGAGTTTGAAGTTTAGATCCGTTGGATTCTGGAGGAGGGAAGGACCAGATGAAGAGGGAGGGGGAAGTCCATATATCTTTCAGGTTCGGGATGGTTCAGGGAAATCGTGATAGTGCCTCAGGTACCAGTGTATGATCTGATAGAAACAATAAAAAAATAAAAATAAAATCAGAACAAGAAAATCAAAAACAAAATGAAAAAATAAAAAAGGAAATAAAATAGAACAAAATAAAATAAAATAAATAACACTAGTAAATAATATTAACCATAAATCTCAATCCTAATTCATCTTTCTCGATTGCTCCATAGAAATCTCTCCCAAAGGGAATTCTCCATCGGCCCCTAAACACAAAGGGCCCATACGCCCACAGAAAGTCACTAAACGCTGCTACTAAAGACATGAGGACCTTCCAGCGGTCAGCGGAAAAGCTAAAAAGGCGAGGCGACGATTTCTGGCTGTTCCCGAGATTAACGAGCACCGGTCATTGGATGCTTCGTTGGGCAGACGTGCAGCTGGCAGGGGAATTTTTTTCCTTTGGCACCGAGAGCCTGGATGAATAAGCAGGCGTTACTCATCAGTCCTTTTGTCCTGGATGAATAATGACTCTGACTGATTGATACTTGCGTCTCCCGCGGATTACTGTGTCCGTGGAGGTCACTCCCTTCCTAGATGTACCGACTGAGTGCTCGGTCAGGGCCTGGCGGGTAAAGAGGAGAGAGAGCGCGAGAATTCGGATTCTCACAGACTAGCAGCCTAACAAACTAGTACAAAGAGGGTATAGCAGTAATACTCAGTGCCTACTACCAGTATTCTCATGTGTAAGCAATACCCCTCCATGCAAGCAATGCACCACTCCTACATTGCTCTTTATACCGAGGACAGAGTATGTACATTGTATGTACAGATACCTATACAGAACTCAATCTGATATCATATGTATGTGTGTCCTCTGTGCATGATAGTATGGCGATGTATATCCTCAGTGACCTTCCCACTGAGCCCCTCGTTCCTGCCTCTGGAGGCAACTTCTAGCCGGAATAGCCGATATCTTGATACAGGTAGTTCTCAGGACATGCCAACTACGGAGTAGGATGTAGTCTTGGTACTGGTACCTCCAAAGTAGTCGGTATCCGAACCATGGAATGACCGCCGGTGGGGCCGAGAACCATCGTTTATCGATAGCCTATCGAATCTTCTTCACTCTCACAGTCCCCTCAACAGTCATCCAGATGGACTTCTCTTCACCCCCCATTCCCTCTTTTCCCCAATCCAGTTGACGGAATGGGGGCCCTCCGTTCAAGTTTCACCTCCTTCAATCTGTAGGTACCGGATGCGGTCGCACCAGCCTGACTCAGGCACCGCGAGTTCCTCAGCACAAACAGAACAATATGATTGGTAATGTATGGAACGAGTCTCCAAACCATCCGAAACCTCCCCCCCTCCACGAAGCAATGAAGTACTATAGGTACCTGAGCCCGTTTGCCTACACATCTTGGGTTTCTTGGCCGTGGTGATGCCCAAAAAAGGCCTGTCTGTGCGCATCACCACCGTTCCCTCATCCCATGATCGACTTTCAGAATAAGATTGGCTTGCGGGTTACATAACGGTACCATGATACATACGTCTACCCGTCCGAGGGTAAGAACCCTGCCCTGAGAGGGAGGGGCTTTGGCCATGATCAGATGGACAAGAGTGTCATACAATACTGTATCAAGAGGCCCATCATTCGGTCGATCACGGCCAATCATTCCCATACATAGTGTGACCATAGTAACGAGCTGGAGGAAATCATTTCCAGCTTCATCAGCCACAGACCGGTGATATTCAAGTCGGACTGCTTTAATGAGTTACATCTTGTAAGTAGATGCCTCAGATAGATCAAATCCCCCTATACGACTGCTTTGCTAGACATATCCTTGCCTCCCTGCTGCCTTCATCTGTGGTACAGTAGGGCCGGGCCGGGGGAAGATCCAGTGATCCACCCGATGAGGGCAAGGGCCCTTTGGCTTTTCCGGTTAGTCCGCAGGTCACTGACGCCCGTTCCGTCAAAACACCCGTGCTTCCCGCACGATTTGAGCGATGACAGTATTCCGTATGTACCGCAGAAGCAGAGGCATGCAAAAAAGCACAGACAGATCAGATTGGACGGTGCCGAAGATAACCAACGCCCGGCTAAAATTATGTAAAAAAACCTAATAACGATAATAAGAAAATATACATGAAACAAGAAACAACAATCATGGAAATAGAATCACCCACGGCAGAAGGGAGCAATACTAGCGATAGTTCTTGACACTATAGGTAAACCCCCCTCCCTCAATGATTCAAACGAACCGGAAGACATCGCGATCGCATCACGGAACAGCATCAGCAGAACCGACTCTTGATTCAAAAAATTGGGGCTAGCAACCGACTCGTCATCGACTCATCCTCGATGCTAAGTCAGCAGCTCTAAATCAGGTAAGGCATCACTGCTTCCAGCGATTCTGCGGGGAACCAGCCCTCTAACCGAAGTACCTATAGTAAAATAACGGCCAAACTCGCTCGATATGGTTCTCATGCAGAGAAACAAGGCGAGCTTGGGTTGAAGCTCGCTCTCTCCTCTCCTTGGTCAATGACTAGCTTAGAGCTGTGACCCTAGTTCGAAGCAACGGAGCGGCCCTCATGCAGTTTGAGACGAATCCTTGTAGTACTTCATGATAGACACACAGACCTTGGATTAGGGTTGGAGGGGTCACAGAGTCACGTTCTCCCATGGCACTTTGGCGTTGCTATCCCTTGCGTTCGTTACCTAATCTACTGCACTAGTTAGTTAACTCAACAATGTATCTAAACTCAAGCAAACTACTACTGAAGTACAAAAGTCAATTGACATCATAGACTTTCTCGCATTAAACGACAAACTCCCCATCGGCATCAATTGCATCCGTTATTGCAATCATATATGACTCATAGTAAAAATACCACTTTTCGGCCGAAATCGCAAAAACAATTGCAGAGGAGGATAGCCCCCAGCCAAATAGCAACTTTCGACCACCCTAAAGGGAAAACGTGTTCCCTTAATCCGTCTATCAGGTAGAAAATAGTAAGCAGAGCGGCGATCCATAGATCCTCCTCACCCATTTTCTTTTTTATTCCCTCTTTTACCCGCAATGAAGCTACTTACGGTACTAGCACACGACCTAACAGGAAAGTCAACGCTACCTATAACATGGACGTCCTAAGGTACTAGCTAAGGCCGACTAAGGCAGTGCGATCCACAGAGGATACAGAAGGTTCCCTTCAATGAGACGAAACAAAGAGGATGAGCTGACCCACATCCCCCAACGCAGTAGGTATGACTCACTCCGGAGTCCCCTTGTGGTCTTCTCGAAGCACCGTCTGCTTATCTGGACGATTTCCTCTTCCGGTAGTGCACTACATCATGGGTGTTTCAGGTTTGACGGCCCTCTAGACTCGATGGGGTAGTATGTGTACGTGCGTGCATAGGTATGGAGAATGGGAACTACTAGTTCAGATGTAGGTAATGAGGCAAGACGATGAGGAAGTAGCACGCCGCTGCCACGTTTCTCTGAGAACAATTGTCCGAGCTTTTTGGCCTCGCACGGTTGGGGTGAGATTACTGAGGGTGTAGGGTTACTCGCGATAATCGCGTGAAATGCGTATCGGGGATGTTCAAAGAAAGAAATCAAGAGCAAATTAGGTGCCAGGAAGCAATTGAAGCGTCGAGCCCATCCCTACGGCCGTTGCATGCAGCCGGCCATGTTGTTTGAATCCTTCGTGCCAAACTGCCGGAGCCCATGATGAGGATTGGGATATCAACATGCAAATCAGGAACTGACAACAAAGGCCAGGTAGGGATATAGAAACGGAACGAACCCAATCGGATTCCAAGCCCTGCTCTTTGAAACATAGCAGAGCTCGACATATCCTGAGGCAAATCATGATTTACCAATGTACCAACTCGGTTCTGTTGGTATACTGTACCACTTCTTCGTGCCATTCAGGAACACTGCAAAGTTACATGTGACTCGAGTGCGAAGCTATTTTTTTTCTCCTTTATTTGTCATCGCTTAAACTCCGTAACTGTTACCTTGTGCCGGGAGAAAAGAAACAAATGGAAATAACTTGTCTTAGCCTTCCACGTTCGGTGTGGTACGTTCCATTAGGATGGCGATGCGGAAATGGCCATCATGGCGGTGAACAAGAGCGGTTGACCCAATTGTAGGGCAGGATGCAGCGTTGGTGGAGTTGCCCCAGTCACTCTGCTATACACCTCCCGTGACTTGCTCCATAACAGTAGGCAGTCGCAATTTACTACATGCAAGAATTCATCATTCTGGGAGAAGGTTTCGGATCCCCCCCCCCTTTCTTTTCGCCTCATTGCGACGAGACCGAATCAAACGGAGACTGTGCCGAGACTCGAGAGTCAGCTATACCGCTGATACCGACATTGTCCACACCTCGCGGTTTCTCTACCATTTTCGGGGAGCTTGCGGACAGGCCCAGTCAAAGGGCACCGGTGCAGTGGGTCCAGAGCGTTTTTGACTTTTTTTTTATGCTCGGACTCGTGTGCAGCGTGCAGTTTGTTGCCCAACATGGGAATCTGCATACCATGCTTGATCTACAGAATTACTATGCTGGTCGACAGTAAGCCACCGAGACCAGGAGTATGGAACCGTGGAGATAAGATACATTATTCAGATTTTAGCATGTACAAGAGTGAAGAGTGTTTGATATTACCTGTCAGATGTATCTTACTCTAGTACTCTCTTGGGGTTAGTTAGTTAGAGAGGCCTAAACGGGCAAAAAAACCCTAAAAAAGTTATAATCTACGGAGTACATCGGTACAGACGGCGGTCAACGTCAACAGAACATGTCTCTCTCTGAAGCTGATATCATCAAGTCAATTATTAACCCAAGCGAAATTAGCCCTGTGGATCCTCGCAATATTCTCGAATGTCTCCCTATCGGATCCAAGCTCCATCTTCCCCAGAAGCTAACCACGAGTATCTCATCGGTTCGACGAAATATCGGTGTTGAAGGAATTGTTGCCATTGGTCGGTTGGCGTTTCCTGACCCTCCATGATCTGATTGGACCAATAGTCGTACAGGGGGTCATCAGGCACAGACGGTGATCAGATCACCATAGGATCCAACCTACCTTAGACGTGCATAGGGACGTCCGGGTAGACTGACACTCAGACGTTCCCTTGGGCGAGTGTGTACCTTGCCTATGGGGTGCAGCAGAATGAGGGTGTGAGTCACATGGTTTGACAAGTTTGACAACTTGTGGCACCACTGGCGATGCCTCAGAACGCGCAAATTCAGGATTAGAGACTTGTTTCATGTCTTCTCGGAGCAATACTGACGGCCTTGTTGAGTTTCAGGTTACCGCATTATGTGGCTTCTCTACTGCGAGGCAGAGTACTACTTGCTTCGGTGAATATGCGGTAAAGTCTCCTGGACCTCCTTTGTCCTTCAGATATGCTCTATGACGGAGAACATTGTAGATCTGCAACTATCGTATATTTCTAGTATTGGCCACTCGTCACGCAAGGACTCCCATCGGGTCCCATCGTGGCAAGACCTCTGGTTCCTGATTTAGAATATCTCGCACCTCTTTTGAAAGGAATCGGGAGTCAACCACTACCTGATAGGTAAACTCGTCCATCCACTCATCTGCCATGACAAACCAACCCTTGTCTCCCACGGCCTCACCCCAGGAGTTCTGCACCCGCCATCGCACTGGCTGGCCCTTCTCGACATGAACGCCTGTCAGCACCATCGCATGGGTCATGGATGACTCGCCGGTACTCAGTCTTTGTGCCTTATCCATGCGCAGCGTGGTATTGAATCCCAATCTGAGGTCCAGCAGCCACGGATCCATCACGCCAAGATTGGCGTCGTAGAATTTTCCAACATCGCAGCCAAAGAAAACAGGGTGCCCTGCACGAAGCATTGCAATGGCAGCGGTTTTGATCGTCTGGGAATGTGTTGGTCACAGTTGAAACACACGGTTTTCCGTAGGAACTCACCTTCATGTCCACATTGACGTATGTGATCGGACGTCCTCCCACTACATTACCCAGTTTATCGACTGTCAATAATCGGTCGTACTCATTTCGCGGGTCATTGACCAAGCTCAACATCTTCCGGGGATCAACATCTCCTCGGGCCAGTTGCGTAGAGGCCTGTCTCGCAAATCCCTGCGGGCTATCGTGTACTTCCTGAAATTTGCCATCGGCATCATAGTACTCCCAGTGGAAGGCCTCACTTGGACTCGGTGGCGGGCCCAACATGATAGTCACCAGGGTGTGGATCTCTTTCAGAAATTCATCCTTCTGTCTCGCCAGTCTCTCGGGCTGACTTTGCGCCAACCGCCGCAGTGTCAACGCATGCTCGCGTAGCTTCACTGTTACGAGCCAGTTCATCTTCGCACTGTTCTGGGCACTAAAGTTATCCGGGTAGATGTCGTGAGGCACCAAGCCATACTTGCCAACCAGGTTCGCCACCATATCCCATTGGCCCCCGTCCGTGACGGGGTCCTCAAGCAGCTTCTGCACCAAGCGACTGGACAGATCCTCATCCGCTGTCTCTATAATCTTCTCCATGAACCAATTGGCCTTCTCGATTTTATCCCAGTAGAAGAGGTATGCCTGACTGAGCTCAAAGTCCTTCAGGTTATGCTTCTTCATGAGTGGCACCCGGAAGACATTTGTCGCCGCAAACAGCCAGCAGCGGCCTGACGAGCGCTGATTCGTGATCGGGGCGCCTTCCAACGGGATCTTGACATTGAAAACCGGCCTATCTACAGCCTGCACAGCAGACCGATTGGTAAGAATCTGCGAATAGGGATTGGTGGCGAAACTAAGAATGGCCAGACGGTTCTGGGTAAGCAACCGGATTAGATATCTAGCAATCAATGTAGTATTCCCTGTCTTGATGTGCGAGATATAGGCTTTACTACCTTGTCGGAACTCAGGAGAAGCTCTTCCCAATCTTTCAGCTGTGGGATCGCGAGACTTCTCGCCCGGTCGTCCGCATTGTACGGAGGTGCTACATTGATCAGCGCCCCGTTGTAACTATTTTTGTAACTGCTTGGGCATGGATAGACAGGGGACAGGGTCATGTACGGGCCTCATGCTCATGGTGGGTGTCCAAGTTGCCGCTTCCCGATGCTATCTGCCTCAATTTCATAGTCGCCGTTGTTGCACAAGCGGGCTTTTCGTCTATTTTCTTATTGGTAGGGGCCAATTTCGAATTGTTGGAGCCCATCTTGGGTGCAGATCGGGTATACTTGTGGCTAGAAGAGCTATGGGGTATATTTGGGATATCCTTGTATGCTAGGAGAAGCAGTTAAGGCCTTCCAGTAGAAGGCAGGTTGAGGTGGGGAGGAGGCGATATTTATAGAGCCAGTCTTATCTCAGGATGGGGGATAAGATGCAACTTAAGCTCCATGCAATTGAGAACCTTGCGGCATGGTCACGGGGGGATTTCAGTAGTGTTTGCGTGATTGGAGACGGTTATTGCAGTCACGCTCATGGTCACAGGTTTGTCCGCGGGTGCAAGGTGAGAAAAATATTAATAAAATTGCATAGAATTCAAAGGAACTGCCATTACCATCCTAGTATCTATTCCTGATCTCTAGTCAAGAGTACCGAGTAATACTACAGTGCCTCCTTATCAACTTGTAGATTGCCACCCATGAAACAATCCAAACCTTCATCAAGCCCTCTCCACCAGACAAATAGACAAGTCGTGAAACATGCTGTATGGGTATCGGTAACTTCTTTCGCAAGCAGAAAACTTCACTTCCTAAGGCATAAAGCAACAAACGCCAAAGCAGATAACCTCCCAATTACTGAATTTTGATTCGTCCATCTTCTTTCCTTGTATTTTCAATTTTTTTTTTTTTTTCTTCTTCTTTCCTGTTTCTCTCACTCTCACTTTTTCTTTTTCTTTTTTTTTATCATCTTCCCTGATAAGACAAACCAAATCCTCAATTACACTATTCTTGCAGCTATGTGCAGTTAGTGGGCATGTACAATTAGAAGCTGATGAAATCCTGCTGCTGCGAAAGATCGTTACTGCCGTCTGTTTTTATGATGAGTTCCGGCTCATCCTCGTCAAGATCGTCTGAGTCAACATCATCAGAATCGATTTCATCGTACTCTTCATCCTCGCTAGAGGCGTCAGAGTCGTCGTCGTTCGTGGCATCGACCTTGTTAGCACCAGTATTCTTCCGAATCTGTCCTGCACGATCAACATGGGGCAGGCGACAACGTTTCTTGTTGCATACACCCGTGTTGGCGTAATCAGGACACTCATGTACATGTCGTTGGTCGCAATTAGCGCCTTTCTCACAGTAACCCAAATTTGCAAAATCTCTGCAAACGGGTGCGCCAGGAGTCAAACGGATATGGGCATATCGGCACTCCGGGTTGGAGCAGCGACCTCGGAGGAAATGCATACAAGTAGGGGATCTGTGGGGCGAAGGTTCATGGGAAAGATCGCAACTTATACCTGCGGCACAATCACCAGTTTGGAGGAAGTCTTTGCACAGCGCGACCTTATCTGGGTCATGAACGTAGAGACAGGATGGTCCTTTGTAGCAAGTGCCTAAAATATCACGTTCCAATCAGCACGGTCTTTGTGGGATATAAACGACATTGAGAAATAAATTTCAGGTTTGTCGAAGGGAAATCATCGTTACCGGTCGTAGTGAATCTTCGGCAAAGCTCATCCTTCTTAGTCGCGTTGGGCTTTCTGTACTTGCTGTGAGTGTCCAATCTTAGTATGCGGAGCAGTACAATCACCTTTTCGAAGTAACCGCGCCAAGACGATGGAGATTCCCATTTTTGCTCCGAACAAATGTAACACCAGCAATGGTTACCCTCTTTGGTGTGTTGTTGATAGTATGCGGATCATCTATTAACGGTGAGCCAGCCCGCTTGGTCAGTATGGCAGCAGAGAAAGCCGCACCAGACACTCTAATCAGTTTACTACCGCCTCGTGAAACACGGAAAGGTATGTCGTTGAGGTAGACCTGATACTCCGCCGACGGCCCCGGAGCAACCTGGGGAGCGGCGGGACCGGGATACTGCCTACCGACACCCTGCGCGTATCGGAGTACTTTGGCTCGCTCGATATCTGCTTTTTTCTGCTCCTTGGCCTTGCGACTCTCTTCCATAGCCTTCGCTCTCGCCTGCGCTTCTTGGTCGTATATAGCAGAGTTTATCAGCTGCATGTGTCGGTCGCGCTTGGCAACCCATCCATTTGGCGTTGTCGATCGACTCTCACTATCAACATCCATCCCAGAGTTAGTAGAGGGTGTCGCACCACCTGGTGTCCCTGGTGTCGCTGTATTGTTGAGAACGAGTGTACGGTGTCGGTGAGGAGCAGCGCCACGGCCTCGCCCATACGGTCGTCCGCGGTATGGCGCCCAACCGGGACGCCCTCGAGAAGGTACATGGCGTGCTACATAATGACCTGATTGGTAATCACTACCGTAAGGCATTGATGTCTGGGGGTTTTGGGTCTTGTGTCTATTGATCTGGCCTATCTGATATGAGTGGGCAGAATTATTATTAAGTGCGCGTCACGTATGCTTACCAGCAAGCTGGCTGATCTTGGCCATCAGGTCCTGATCTTCTGTCATGGTCACTAAAGAGTATGGCTAACATTCACAGTCAGTAGACCACATGCACTAAATTTGTTCTGTCCTTTACAGCGTGGTTAGGAATGTAATGACAAAGAATTAGCGATTGGTAATGTTGATGCAAGTGGAAAGATGATTGACCTGTGGCGGGTGCGGTCACGTGGGGCCCAGGTAAGCTTGAATTAGATCACTCTTACAAAGAACTCAGCTACATTAAGTAGTTACTCAAATCTTAATCTAGCTTCACTCATTGTTTGTGAATTGATGCATTTGTTTGTATACTATGGTTTGGCATCTAAGCCCACAATTAATAATACCAGAATGACCTTTATGAAATCAACCCAAAAGACAACCCAAGACAAACGCCATGACCTTGCTTATGCTACATAGATCCAATAGTCTTTAGGGAACATTCTCAAATTGTATATCGTCGTTATCTGTAAACATCCCGGGTGTCGCTTCCTCCTCGGAGGCGTCGTCGAAGTTGTAGTCAGCGCCAGGCGCCATCTCCTCCTTTGCATCGCCATATGACAACGCATTCGCATAGCTGCTCTCTTTCGCTTCCGGTTTCAGCTCCCAGGTCATGGCGAAATCGCCGGATTTGACCAAGTGACCAATCATCTCCAACGTTTGCTTAAGATACGCCTCAGGCTGTCGGAGTCTCGCTTTGAGCGCCTTAAATGGCCAGTATCTGTACTCTCGGAAACACTGATAAATGAGATCCAGAAGCTCGTTTTGTGGCATACGCGTTGTCTTGTTTTCTTGAGGCTTGAGCTTTGCCGCCTTTGTTGCTTGCTGTATCGACATTAGATCAACGTAAAGAAAAGGAGTATTTGAAGGCTGCAGGCTACTTACCACGAAGGCGCCCTTTTCTCCCGGTAGAACGTTTCTTGCCTGAAGGAGCTTTCCAGGGACCTTGTCGATGAAGACGGTTTCGCGTTTCGGTTTGAGAGATTGCAAGACTTTTTGTTCTGAGAGTAGCCGGAATTCTTCATTCTCCACAGGAAGGCAGTTGAACTCCTCGGAAACACTGCCTACAAGGGCAGTTTGTTCTGTCACGGTGTAAGCATTATCCCTTCTTCATCCTCTGTAGACCAGCCAAAGAGAACATACTAGGTACCGTCTTCCGGACATAAGGCTCCCACTTCTTCTTCCGCTCCTTCTTCTTAGCTTCTCGCTTCATCGACTCGTACAAGGCTGACCGCGCCTCGCCAAAAGTGATCATCCGATTCTCATGGCCAGGAATGTCCTTTTCAGTGAATAGATACGTGTTTTGCGTAGAATGAGAGGATACTTGTTCTGTGTTTACTGTTTGCCGTTGCAGTAGGTAATCTTTGGGGATATCATGGTTCTCCTCTCGTTCATTGATACGCAAACTGACCTAGAAAGATTCGCATGTCAGACAACGTCCCTAAGAGATAATACCACACAAGTAATGACCGCAATGCGAGCACCGCCTATCCAGGAAAATCACATACCCTTTTAATATCGTTTAGCGGGCCCTCGATCCGAACCGTCCCGATCTGAATTTCTTCATCGTCGTCGAGGTTGGACCAATGCTCCCAGAGCGTTCGAGGAATGCGGGAGAGCCACACACTCTGTGCAGCGTTTGTAAAGTCTAAATCGCCGGCATCTTCATAGAGATCTTCATCGTCAATGTCGTCGAGAATAGCATCTTTGCTGTCCGGGTCGGGTTTGATATATGGTGATGCCGCGTCGGGGTCCGGTTTGATTTGGGGAACCATGGCGCTAACCGCCGACACAAACAAATGAGAATCTGAGATTTCACCCACTGGTAGTATCGGGCAATGCGACCGTGTATTAGAACAATCTGGGCGACAACCGATGTTCTAGACGGTATGCAGTCGGTGGTGTGACGTGATGTTGAAACACTCGCCATGCGTCCGTTCTAAACTGCAGAGGGAGCTGCCGAGCGGCGGGTCGGCCAAAGGCGGTGGCGGCATCCTTAACCGCCGTTCAGTTCATTTAAAGTCTTGAATATAAACAACAATAACCCCGTTACTTGACATAAAGTTCCAATATGCAAGCGCTGAATTTAATGAATCTAAAACTCATCCGGTCTAGTCTAACTTGAAATCTAATATGGAAAATACACCCAACATATACTTTTTTCGCTGAGGTGAAGACTATTAATGGGCTCCACGCTGAGTAACCTCTCAAACAACGGAGTATTGTAGGACAATAAAATAGTCAATTAAACAAGGCTGCAAGGCAACATAGACTTAGAGCTCGCCTAAGGAATTCTTGAGGCAGAAAACCCCCGCATAGTGGTGATGCTATTGTTGCACCCTTCAGCCCCTCTTATCGATAAGCTACTCTGTAAGCTTGACATCGTTTGTGCCCGCAGTGAGTTTAAGGTACAACATCTTCTCCGTCACACCGATCCCACAAGACAAATAATAGTCCACCTCTTAAACAAAGCCTGAAACATATAATACCTGCCTGCTTCATCTCAACGCACTCGCCATCCCGCCTGAGAACCTCTCCCATGGCATCTCAAAAGATCACCTCCGCCCTCGCGGAGATTGAATCGTCCGCTAATCCCCAAAACAAGCTACAGCTCTACAACGACCTTCTATCCGATGTTGCCTCGACATCATCTGGAGACCAGCTGTCTCAAGATCTGACTTTCTATCTTGACTCCATCCTCAACGAAGACATTAGCATCGTGGCCGCCCGCCCACTCCTCGACGCGTTCATTGACGTTCTCCGGAAACTGAACCCCGAAACCCAGATCAAAGTAGGCCAACACGCCATCACACTCCTCCAATCTCGCTCCACCTCAGTCGAAGAACAAGACGCCCAGATCCGCGAACTCCTCGCAGACGCATACGAGGCTGAAGAAGAATACGTCGCAGCCGCGCGGACACTACAAGGGATTCACATCGACAGCTCACAACGCCTGGTATCCGACGCAGCAAAAGTGCGACTATGGATTCGAATCGTGCGGCTATACCTGGAGGAAGACGATACAACCAGTGCGGAGGCAGTTCTCAACCGAATCAAGAACCTACCCAGCAAGATCGAAGATCACGAGTTGAAGCTCCATTTCAAGCTTTCCCAGGCCCGCATCCTAGACGCGCGGAGGAAGTTCCTCGATGCCAGCCAAGAATATTTCAATGTGAGTCTGGCGGCCGGCGTCGATGAGAGCGATCGTCTGCAGGCTTTGGCTGCCGCCATCCGCTGTGCGGTCCTGGGCCCGGCTGGTCCGCAGCGCTCCCGGATTCTGGCGACGTTGTACAAGGATGACCGGGCGACGTCTGTGGAGGAATTTGGTATTTTGGAGAAGATGTTCTTGGATCGACTATTGACTCCGGCTGAAGTCGCAGCTTTTTCGCAGAGGTTGGCCCCTCACCAGCTTGCGCAGACGGCGGACGGCACTACTGTTCTCGATAAGGCGGTGGTTGAACATAACCTTGTCGCGGCGAGTAAGTTGTATGAGAACATTACTACAGATGCGCTGGGCGCTATCCTGGGACTCCAGGCAAGCGGGGATCTGACGGCGGGTGAGAAGGCCGAGGCCTATGCGGCGCGGATGGTCGAACAAGGCCGGTTGAGCGGCAGCATTGATCAGATCGATGGGGTCATCTACTTTGAATCAAGCACAGCCGGTACAGGGAGGCATATTAGACAATGGGATGCCGGGGTTCAAGGACTCGCGGAAGATGTGGAAAGAGTAGCGACCAGTATCACGGACGCATTTCCGGTATGTGCGCACACACACACACACACACACACACACACACACACACACACCATCGCTTCTACTACACACAGTGCAGAACCGCTGACCTTGGTTTGTAATTTCAGGACTTTACAGTTGGGCAGACCGTACACTGAGAACGGAGGATTTACGAAAAAATGAACGACGGATACCACCAGTTATAGCAACACAATACGATTTTCACATCTCGATCCTAGAAAATAAACTCGAACATTAAGATACTTCTCAGGGTATATTACATCGGTGTCAGAGTATACATAACGCCACACAAAGTAGTCTAGACACGATAGGTACGCTAGAAAGAAACAAGCAAGAAAAAAGTCTGGGCACTGAGCCATAGCGAAAGACAGTAAGACATGATAAGTCGTCAAGATAAGGTCGTAAAAATGGGGCAATAAAGAACGAAACGTGCATCGAATCACGGGACATGGAGTGAAATAAAAAAAGAATTAAGGCACCAGTCACCACAAGGTAACCCACAGAATTAAGAGTGAGACTTCACAGAAGCCGAGTCCTTGCTCACAGTGAAATCCGTGCGAACCGCAATCCCCATAGGAATCAGATAATTCTTATCAACGGGGACATTGGAATCGCTCGTAGTACGGGATATTGTACCCTCCTCCATCATCTTAAAGTACGCGGAGGCCGGCGACTTAGGACTAGACATGGCGAAATTGGAGGTGCTGATATCGGTATTGATATAGTACGGCGCGGTAGCATAGCGACGACTGCCGGGGATCTTGAATCTCGGGAACAGGCCACGGATGACGGGGAGACAGGAGCAGATCAGGCCGACCGCGGGCTCGATATGGGTCCAGAGAGCCGCCTGGTAGACGGTGTAGGTGGTATCTTCTGGTTTGATCCAGAAGAGGACGACGATGCGGTAGATACTGGCGAAGCAGACGAAGCCACCGATGGCGAAGACGCCGTTCAGGGCGAGTTTGTCCTGCCATGCGCGCTGGAGGCCCCAGATCATGGGGATCGGTAGGAATAGGATTACGAAGTCCATCAGAACGTTGAAGGCTTGGTTGACGATGAAGAACTTGTTCCCGTCGAAGCAGTGGCCGTCGATGCTCTTATCCCAGTAGCCCCTCAATGGGCGACATTGTAGGGCGCAGGCGAGGAAGATACCGGCTCCCCAGGCGGCGATTAGGGTGTTGAGTGCGAATGATACCCATTGGAAGGTCTTCATGGTGAAAATTCGACGGTAGAAGCATATGATGGAGATTTTGATGGCGGGGCAGAGTACGAAGTATGTGAACTGGTTTGCAAGGAATATCTATGGTTGGATTAGTGTATTGCCCAAGAGACATTGGTTGGGATCAGGTGGTAACTGTTCATACCTTTGAGAAGTTCATCAATGTTGTCTTATCTAGGTCTGCCATATGGGCTCCATTGCCTCCGATAATGACCCCTTTGCATGACGGTTAGCAACTAGTCCAGGGCAGTGGGTTTCACAATGCTTACATAGCACTAATTCAATGAGCATAGCAATTAAAAGACCCATTGAAAGAAAGCAGAGGTAGTCGTCCATGCCCAATCCAATGCTTCGTTTCATTCGGGCGAAGACTCGCACGATAACTGATATAAGGGACAGACCGACCAACACCGAGACGATACATATCATCTGAGCCCCCCTCGAGGTAATTGTCATGGTGAAAGCTTGAAAGGAATGACTAGCTATAAAACGGGAAAAGGAAAGACGGTAGAGTGCGCAGGTCACTGGTGGAGGAAAATTGGGATGACTATATGCAAAGGAATGACATGTATAGAGAGGGATGGTCGAGAACGGCAATGCCCCTCTTCCCCTAGTAATGAGAGACTAGTAGATAGTTATAAAGAATAGCCCCGGTCTCAGCGGAGCAGCATAAACTGCTGCTGTGCGAGACTAATCGCAGGAAGATACGCAGTACAGGATCCTGAAGAACCAAGGCCAGCAGGCGGGTATGGGGCCTACGGCAGATATACTACATTTTACGCCCATCATCCAAGCATTTTAGGCACAGAAAAACCCGGAAAGGTGGGAATAATGCTATGGGTCCGTCCCAAATCCAGGGTTGGAGATGCACAGTTCGTAGGTAGACGAGGTGGTGAGTTAGGGCAACACAGGCACATCATTGGAAGTGACACAAGCCCAGGCGAAACAGTGGGACCTGAAGACCCGCAGGAATGACATAAGGACCCCGAAGTATACAATCTGATTTGGGATGATAACGCGGCCTTTGAAGAACCCGCGGCCTCGTGGCGACAATTTTGTCCCCACCGGCTCCAGCGACGATCATTCTGGTGTTGAACTCTAACGATGCACTATTTGGTTTTAGTGGCGGTGAGTTCTATGGGATGCAGGTAAATAGTAGGCTAGTGCCTGTCAATTCAAGACTAATATTATCTCAGACAACGATAGGCGAACTAGACTGTGAACTTTGAAGTATGTATAGAGTTTGATAAACATGCCGATGTAACCTTTTGACGGTCAACGGTTCAATGAGAGAGAGGAAAACAGTCTCTGGAGGAATAGGCGAGCTATCCGATCAACTCCTGCAAGACAAGCGAACCGGGGAGAAGGGGAACCCAAAAAGAGAGCAGAAATCTCTTCTGATCCAAACCTTGTCTCCTATTCCACTTCCTCAGGGCTCCGGGCGATCCGTCCTTTGAGAACCCCCACATCTCCCACACATTTACTTTTGAGTACCCTCGGCGACCCAAACCATGTGTTTGACACAACCCTACTCTGAGATCGCTTTCCACCTTGTCATCGGTCTATTGGCGCTATTCCCATGAGTGGAAATGAATGGTTCTGTTCTGATATAAGCACCGTGAGCAGAATCTCCAGGCGGCATGTAGTGAATCCATAGTTCGGCCACAGTTCCTAATGTGGTCAAAGGAGCGGAATGTGTTCTTCGATTCGGAACATTGTTGCGCGCTGAGCGCGTGTCGATCTCGGACCACCTCCAGAGTACAACCCCCGGCTACGGCCGCTGGGTTCTCCTACAATATGCCTTGGAGAGGTTCGCCTCTGTGGAAGTAGCCTGCATTTTTATTACATAAAAGGGGGGAACGTAGCCTAGCTTCCCGGTCATTCAACCTTGACAGCTATAACTGCTGTGTGTTGAGACTGGAGATCCTCGAGTTCTATTGATCTGAACCAGGTAAGGCCTTATTTGCCAAGGAAGACATGTTCGGCAGGAGGAGAATATGCGTTGCGAGTTGTGGGGCGCAGAGGCTGAGCTACTAATTGTCCTGTTGCTGCCCTCAATGCTGGGTTTGCCGACAAAACACGGGACGCAATTTGGTATAGAACACACGTGGATAGCAAAAGGACCCTGGTTTGCTTAATCACCAGCTGGAGATCAAGCCCAGTAAGGGCTTTCTTTGAGCATGTTCTCTTGCGCCTGTAATTTTTGAAAAGATCCTTGGTACGCGACGGTCTGTCAAGGCGTCTGCATTTCTTTTTTTTCTTCGCCGGGCTCGTTCTCGTAATTGCAACAGTCAATAGATAGTCATGGCAGTTCTGATCAGGGTCCTTGAGGTTTATAGGGGCAGAACGCCAAGTACCTGTACTATTAGGTCCTAAACCCTCTCTTTCATAGAAAATCTCCGTCAGAGGCTTGTCGATTACCTCATTTCTCCGCTAACTATACCGTGCAACAACAAGCTCATATAAAACCGAGGAACACCCCACAATTAATGCCAACTATTGAGATCACAAATCCAAACGCCACTTCGGGGTCCTTACCAGAGTACGGAGTAATACTTCTAGAAATGTTCTGCTTTTGGTGATCCGCAGGTACTGTCTAGGGACGATTCAATAGTCCTATACAATTGCCTTGGGTTGGTCACTTCTAATGTGGGTACGCTAATGGTTAGCGTGGTGCAGATCATTTCACACATTCGGCACTTCAGTGACCGATCAGTGTTGGAATCGGGTCTCTTATTGACATTCACGCTTCCTTAATGGTGGGAGGCCCTTGACGACTGTCGATAAAAGACCCACTGTAGGTGGACCCTGTCTGAGTAAGCTCCTTGCTAGCGAACGTCGCATTCGGATCTTGTGGGCTGCCCTACTCCATCGTCTCTGAACCGATCCACGAACAAAAATCTTGGGATGGGTGGTCCCTAGCTATTTCGAAGTTTTAAACCGTGGGAGGATGTGTCTGATCGTCATCCAGACCTACCCAGAAGGTTAAGAGTTAGCTACGCTATGTTTTCTTCAGGCGACAAAAATCCACGCAACGTCCACGGTACCTACCGACTTTCGATTCCCCTTCTAGCATAGATAATTTCATTCTCTCGGGGACTCTTCTGTGCGCGGTACCTGCATTCCCCTCGACACAGTGGGGTAGTTGTCTACATGCATGTAGACCCTCACCACATGGTTACGGTCAAAAATCACGGGATATTGTCTTGCACAGTTTCCTATGATTGATCTTGGAAGAGAACCAAATTATCTATCTTGTATAGTGCCCAGGAAAAAGGGTCTAGGAACATGACAACTCAAAAGAGGAAGACGGGCTGTTGGGTGGGTCCAATGACTTCGTACTGCTTTGAAGGCCATTTGTGGCTCAGTCCTTAGTATAACAGTACTAGTCATGCCTAGACTAACCTACGATTCCCCTCATACTATTAAATTTAATGCCCCTCCACCTCGTAGAATTGTTGGTTCTAGATATATAGAACCTTCACTTTTTTTGTCTTTCGGTATCTGTCAATCTGATTTCGAGTCTCCTATTCTGCAAACGATTTCCGATCCATACTACAATGACGGCTGAAGCTAGTTCCTCCGCTCCCTCGGTAATCCCCTTGATTATCAACGGCAAGGAGGAAGTGCCTGAGTCTACATTCGACGTCATCAGCCCATATACCAACCAGCGCTGCTGGGCAACAGCTTCGGCTTCCCCTCAGGATGCTATCCGCGCCGTCGAGGCCGCCGAGGCAGCCTTCCCAGCCTGGTCGCAGACTAAACCCACCGTCCGACGGGATATCCTACTCAAGGCAGCCGATATCCTGGAAAGTCGCCTTGTTCAAAATGCGGAGTACATGCGGACAGAAATGGGTGCGGACGTAGGAGCGTCGCAGTACTTTATCGTACCGCTTGGTATTCGCATGTTGAGGGACATTGCTGGGCGCATTACCTCCATCTGCGGAAGTGTGCCCGTCGTGGAGGAAGAGGGTCAGAGTGCCATTGTTTACAAGGAGCCTATGGGCGTGATCTTGGGCATCGTGCCTTGGTGTGTTTTTGCTGGATGAAATGCTCTACATGTGGGAATTTCCACGGCTTATCAATGACTCTCTAGGAATGCTCCTTACGTTTTTGGCGTCCGCTCCGCCGCCTGCGCGCTGGCCGCCGGCAACACAACCATCCTGAAATCCTCCGAACTTTCGCCCTGCTCATACTGGGCACTTGCTCGCGCTTTTGAAGATGCCGGCTTACCTGCCGGCTGTCTGAACCTCATATCGTGTCGGCCCCAAGATGCCCCCCAGGTAGTCAACACTATGATTGAACACCCAGCTGTGCGTAAGATCAACTTCACCGGAAGCACAGCCGTCGGAAGACAGATTGCCCGGTCCTGCGGCCAGAACCTCAAACCATGCCTGATGGAACTCGGAGGAAAGAACAGCTCTATTGTTTGCGCAGATGCGAACATCGAAACTGCCGTGAAGGGCGTATTGGCGGGAGCCTATCTGAACGTATGATGATTCCTGGTGCTTTCTGTAAACGCTCCTTTTTCTTTCTAACACTCCACAGTCTGGCCAAATCTGCATGGCCACAGATCGGATCCTCGTCCACTCCTCCATTGCGCCGACCTTCATGGAAGCACTCAAGAACGCCTTGAACTCGAACCTCGACCCATCCTCTCCGCCTCCAACTTTGGTCAATGTGGCTTCTAAAGCGCGAGTCGAGCGTCTGATCTCAGATGCCTTATCGAGTGGTGCCCATTTGATCCACGGATCCGCGAACCAGACGTCCGAGGCTCAGCCAGAAGCTGGTGTTCGCATGGCCCCTGTCCTCCTTGGTGGCGTCAGGGAAGATATGAAGGTTTGGCAGGAGGAAGCGTTCGCCTCATTGGCGGCGTGCATGGTGGTTGACAGCGATGAAGAGGCCATCCGAATCGCAAATGGCAGTGGATATGGCCTGTCGGCTTCCGTGTTCACCGAGGACTTGCGCAAAGGATTATCTATGGCCAAGCGGATTCAATCTGGGTGAGTTTATTCAAATCTTCAACTTTCAGCCGTCTCCGTTGGAATTCATACTGATTGCATGTAGTGCGGTCCACATCAACAGTATGACCATTCACGACGAACCCGCGTTGCCACACGGCGGTGTCAAGAACAGCGGATGGGGCCGGTTCAATACCGCTCAAGGACTGGAAGAATTCCTGGTCACCAAGAGCGTAACCTGGATGGATTAATGAATCACGACATATATGTAACCTGGGTTTCATAAGTAGGAGTCATTGTATATAGTAGTTCAGCTCGTCACGGCGATTATCGCCAACTAATGATGATTGAGTAAATATTGTTTCCATGAACTTTCTAGAGTTTCTCGGTATAGTGCAGAGTAAAATCGCGTGAGCAACCCCCGAAATGTTGACGCAATACTCTCTGCGCCGCATCGACTTGGGGTCTGCGACTCGGCATATTCCCCGAGATTGCCGACCAACACTGGTGCGTTTCGGGACATATATCACCGAGCTATACTTACCTCCAGCTACAGCGTACAACAGTAATACATAGTAATACAGAATACAACTAGACAGTAGCTTAATTTGACAACATGAAGAAGCAAGTATATAAGACTGAACCAGTTCCTGGATGGAGCAGTTACAGTTGTCCACCGGCTATTCACCGGCCCAAATCTGCAATTCCTGTTAACGGGCCGGGGCCCGCGGTACCTTATTGTGTCATTCCACTGCGCGGCAATTGAGAACCCCGCTCTTATTGGCAGAGCAACCAGGACATCAATAGCCGGTATGTACACGTGACCAATAGCCGACCGCAGCGGTGGCCCAAGCTACAGCTGTCAGGAACAAGAGGTTGAGTTGGAGGTAGACAAAAAAAAAGAATGGGGGAAGAGAGTAGGTAGAGAAAAGGGGTGTTTATTATGAATATGGTCTGATGCTACCTGAACCCATTCATAGCTTTAGTGCACAAGCTGGCTGGATATTGGCGGATCACCTTAAAGATCGCTCGGTCCGAGGTACTTCTACAATAGGCAAGGGAAATGTTTGGGTATGGGGTAATCCGCCACTGATCCTCCCGTCTACGGGTCTGGGGATGGCCCATTCTCTGGGGGAACTAGTTAATATGACAACTTGGGGATGGGGATTTCTTCTGTAATAGTTTTTGATGGTGGACATTTTTAAATCTATATGATATGCTCTTGATCGAAACTGATCACACGGAACATGGCATACAGAGTGCCTTGCGAAAGGGGACAACTCCGAGTCGTCCACGGTACCCCGGATAAATCTAATACTGAGTTGATCTCTAAGCTCCGAGCAATAAGAAGTGAAGAATTATGATCATCAGGTGAAACATGACGCTCCGCTGACTTAAGCTTGCCCTCTCATTTGCTGGTGACTTCGGACATGTGAAAACAGGTGGTGTCATGGGGGGGAAACAGTGAAAGAGGAAACCATGCCGGATGGTCAGTTCGCAGGGCCTGGACGACTGATGACTACTGTTAAATAGATACATGCATACATACATATACAGTATTGATCTGAAGCATGTGATGGTTTCGCATCCCTGCTACTTGGATAAAAGAGAAAAGCATCCATGTCCTATGTATGTTTTTGATACCTGTACTCGTTGACTCTTAAACGTTAAGCATTTATCCACAACAGACATCAAGGTCCACCAAAAATGGGTCAACAGATCTCCAGTTCCATGGACAAACCAGAGTTGTTGTAATAACCCTTTACTAAGGAGGGACCACTTTCCCCGTCTTTTCATTCAGCACGGTAAGAGTGTATAGTAATTACGATCGAGGAAACGCGGTTCCTGCCTGGGAAGAAAGCGGTCCAGGCATAGCGAAACGGTACCAGTACGGTACAGGGACATTCTCTCGAGCGATGAGCCTCGGCCGAAAAGCATTGTCGGCTTCTGAACCTTTCCCAATCCAACTCCTCCCCCCGGATCCTGTGGTCCTTGAGAACTGCTTTAAGATCTCGCTGTCTCGTCCTTTTTCCCCGATCCTTTTCTTCTCCTCAGACCTTATTCTTCCTTGTCCTTTCTTTACACTTATTCTCCCTACATTTCATTTCTTTCACAATGGCTCCCGCCCCCAGAGTAATTGTTGTCGGCGGTGGATGTGAGTGATCTACTAACCAAGCTTTCCCCGCAATTTGCTGACCATTACCTCGTCTCTCAGTGTCCGGTCTCTCCGCCGCCCACACCGTCTACCTGAACGGTGGAAATGTCCTCGTTTTAGATAAACAAGGTATGTGATGCTCGTGCATATGGCACTGCGATCGATATTATCGCAAATCGGCGTCGAAAAAGCGATCGCGACTGACTTCCCATAGCTTTCTTCGGTGGCAACTCCACCAAGGCTACTTCGGGTATCAATGGTGCCCTTACTCGCACCCAGGTCGACCTGGGCATCCAGGACAGCGTCAAGACATTTTACGACGACACCCTGAAATCCGCCAGAGACAAGGCTCGCCCCGAGCTCATTAAGGTTCTCACATACAAGTCCGCTGCCGCTGTGGAATGGCTGATGGATGTTTTCAACCTCGATCTCACCCTTGTTTCTCGTCTTGGGTAAGTGATACAATACAATAAATATGACAAACTCGATTTTCTAATAGTGTCGCAGTGGTCACTCCCAGCCTCGTACACACCGTGGTCATGACGCCAAATTCCCCGGCATGGCCATCACCTACGCCCTCATGCAACGGTTGGAAGAGCTTACCGAGAAGGAGCCTGAACGTGTACAGATTGTCAAGAAGGCTCGCGTTACCTCCGTCAACAAGACTGGCAACACCGTAACTGGTGTTACCTATGAGTATGATGGTGAGACACACACCGCCGATGGTATTGTCATCTTGGCCACTGGTGGCTATGCCGCAGACTTTGGCGACGGCTCGCTCCTGAAGCAGCACCGCCCCGACACCTTCGGTCTGTCTAGCACGAACGGTACTCACGCCACTGGTGATGGTCAGAAGATGTTGATGGAGATTGGTGCCAACGGTATCGACATGGACAAGGTCCAGGTCCACCCCACGGGTCTCGTCGACCCCAAGGACCCGACCGCCAAGTTCAAGTTCCTTGCTGCTGAGGCTCTCCGTGGTGAGGGTGGTCTTCTCCTCAACTCCGATGGCCAAAGATTCTCGGATGAGCTCGGTCACCGTGACTACGTCTCGGGTCAAATGTGGAAGGAGAAGGAGAAGGGCAAGTGGCCCATTCGCCTCGTCCTGAACAGCAAGGCATCCAACGTTTTGGACTTCCACACCCGCCACTACTCTGGCCGTGGTCTCATGAAGAAGATCTCCGGCAAGGAGTTGGCTAAGGAGATCGGCTGCGGCGAGGCTGCTCTTCAGAAGACCTTCAAGGAATACAATGCCATTGCTGAGGGCAAGGTGAAGGATCCTTGGGGCAAGCGTTTCTTCCACAACATGCCCTTCGACATCAACGACACCTTCCACGTGGCTCTGATGGAGCCTGTCCTGCACTTCACCATGGGTGGTATCGAGATCAATGAGCACGCCGAGGTTCTGAACTCGGAGCAGAAGCCTTTCGAGGGTCTCTATGCTTGTGGTGAGCTTGCTGGTGGTGTCCACGGTGCCAACCGCCTGGGTGGTTCTTCTCTCCTGGGATGTGTTGTCTACGGTCGCGTTGCTGGTGACAGCGCCAGCCAGCACCTCTTCCAGAAGCTGGTCTCTGGCGGTGCTTCCAGCGCTTCTCAGCGTTTGGGCCAGATCTCTCTGCACATCGATCCGTCTACTCCAGGAAAGATCTCCGTCGAGTGGAGCGGTGCTACTGGCAGTGGTGCTCAGATTCCGGCAGGTGCTGGAACTCCTGCTGCTACTGCTGAGCCTGCTAAGGCTAGCGCTACCCCGGCTGGTGCCTCTTCCACCGCTAAGGCCAATGAACCCAAGAAGTTCGAGATCCCCGCGACCGAATACTCCATGGAAGAAATTGCCAAGCACAACAAGAAGGACGACCTGTGGATCGTCGTCAAGGGTGTCGTCCTGGATGTGACTAACTGGTTGGATGAGCACCCTGGTGGCGCTAACGCTCTCTTCAACTTCATGGGCCGTGATGCCACCGAAGAGTTCGCCATGCTTCACGATGACGAAGTCATCCCCAAGTATGCCGCTCAGATTGTCATCGGCCGCGTCAAGGGCCAGACCCCCAGCCTCGAGCTTTAGATTGTGCAATAGAATGGGAACGATACATTTTGGACAGAGAAAATTATTTGACGCAGCTAGTTCTTGATACATACCCTTTTTCTCCGCGTTTGTCATTTATTACTACCATGATCATTTGTGATGATATACGGGGCAAGCACCCCGTCTTTTCATGTTTAGTCTGTACGATAGTACAATTGAATATTTCGAATCACCTTGTTACCACGTATCATTTCTCGCCTTGGGTGTTTCTCATATCATAATAGGATTATGTGGACATAAAATGTTCTATACACTACCTACCAACAAACTCGGTACCAAATACATATTGTACAAAAGGCAAATGTATGGGTATACACTACATGACCGCCGCCCCATCTCACTCCCCAACCCAGACTCCTAGAGCTTTGCCCGCATATGTGTCAAAACCGTCTTCAATCGTTGCACGGCAGGCCCATCTTCTCCCCTTGGATCCTCCTTCTCCTCCAGCTCTCTAGCGGCAGCCTCCAAAGTAGGTTTCAACCAGCCCCACACCTCATCATGATACCGTTCCTCTACATCAACCCAATCCTCCGACCCCGGCAAACTAGCCAAAACACAATCCCTTAAGGTAGCAGCATCTGTATCCGTTAGCGCAGGCGCACTATCTAGGATTGTATCAATTTCCGGGACGAGACTGGCAGACGTAAGACGGTGGGTAGATGGAGAGGCAGTGTCCGGCTGGGGAGTAATATGGCGACGGAAGGACTCGAGCATTTGGATCTCCGTTTGTGTGAGTTGCTGAGGGGGCAATAGTTCTGTTTCGATTATTTCGGCGGGGTCGTGCGGGAATGTGGGATCGAAGGTTCTGTCTGAGAGGAGGGAGATGACTGCTGAACCGTCGGTCGGTTCTGGGGCGTGGGTGTGTGAGATCGAAGATACTTCTTCCCTCGCTTTTCCCTTTCCCTTGTCTATCGTAGTAGAGGTGGATGTTGATGGCTCCAGGAAGTCGTTCCCTGTTTGCGCGAACTCCTCCTCGCTCAGATGAGGGATCTCGAACCCACCCTGCTGGGGTGTGGTTGTTGAGCGGAATGTCCCCGCATTGCTATCACGCAATTGAGCCCCCGCTGATGATGGCGCGGAGGGTCCGGAAACTTGGTTGTAGTGTTCTGCGGCTGCTAGGGCGGAGGATGAGGATGTGCTGGCTTTACTACCGGTGGTGAGGAACTGTGCTGCATCGCCCGATGAACCGGGGGCCGAGAAGGCTTGCCGGGCTAATCCGGAGGCTGAGCTTTGGATGCGACTTGCTAGGGATGGGGTGTCTGTGTTGTTCTTGTCGGCTGGTTTGGTGGAATTGGGGGGTTTGTTGGAGGGGTCGTCATTGCTATGGTTGTTGCCCCGCTTCTTGTCTTCCGTCATGATTCGGGTTGTAGTGTGGGGTCGTGGTTTGGAGAGGGACGGGAAGGATTGTGAAACGGGCGGTACTGAGTGTTGTTTATCAGAGTTAGAATTCTCGGGGGGGGGGATCGAGGGAGAGGGGAATGTCCAGTAGAAGAGATGGGCGATCGTGTATGGTTTGCAGATAAAGTATATGGTCTGGAAGAAGTTAAGCTTGTCCGTTCGGCTTAAGGGATTTGTCGGTTGGACAGAAATAGCATGTGACGAGTCTCTTTGTGCTCAATATCTTTATTCTTGATCATTTGTTCCCAATTCCTTTGTTGTAGGCAGTGTAAGGAACTAGCCTGGAGGGCCTTCAGGGTCACCTTAAAGGTGAGAGACCCCCTACCTACACCTATAGATACCAGGTGTGATGCATGGCATTTAAATCTTGTGTCTCCGTGGTCTTAAACTTCCCTTAGGATTCCGGAACAGGGGACCGCATAGAAAACTCTTGCACACGCAAATTTACCTGTAAAACAAGGACCTGTGGATTCTCTAGTGTAATGAGGCTTAAGTTCTGTCCTTTCTTCTGGATATCATATTCTGTGTGATAGAGGCTCAGTGCTGTCATAAATGATCATATAGAAAGCGATTGTTTAAAGGTGAAAAAGAACAAGAACTTGAAAGTGGTTCTATAGTCCAGGAGGGTAACAAGTATGATCCAGAAAAATCAGACCCTCTTTCTCTATCAACTCCTTTTTTTGGCTGCCCGACAGTGGTTACTAGTGATCTACTAGTACTCTGTGTTGTATAGTAGTTGAGAGACGAAGGCGGCCCAGGCGGAAGGTCAACTCTTGAGGTTCTTCAAGGGCTCTCCTGATTGGTTAAAATATTCACCGCCTTCGGTTAGTGGATAGGGATTACTGTTTTAGGAAAAGTAAGCTTCCTCCCGAGGTCCACGGCTGCCCAGGTGTACCTCTGATCACGTGTCCTGATCTAAATAGATCAGGAATCAGAATAATGTAATGGGATGAAGGAGCATGAATCTGATATTCTCAAGGTAACACGGAGCGGGGAACTACTAATCTAAGGAAATCACATGACGGATAATGTTGGACTAAACTTTTTAGTACCCTGCTGTAGGAGAATGTGTATGGAATATAGGGAATCAAATTAGCCGCTGTGGTATATATTAAGTCGCGGTTCCGGAGCGAACTCCAAGATTGGCATGGGGTTGGCACGGTATATAAAATTTGATACTTGGTCTTGCGTGGTTGGGCGGGAATCGGGGCTTGTTCATTTCAAGAGAATCGCAGTCTTATCATGATATCACTCGTTGCACATTGCATTTTTTTTGTCAGATGATGCAATCTGAGGTCCTCATATATTTCACGGAAATATAGACAGAAAGTTAGTATGGCTGTTCTGAATGGTCTAGTTACTAACCTACTACATAGCAGCCAGTCATGTCATTTTTGTTTGAACAATGATGCTATTCTGTTCGCTTGTTAGTGTTAGTGACTTAGTAATGAATTGGCGCTGCAGTAGTTGACACAATTGCTTTCCTATTCCAGTCCATATACTGGATGTAGGTACTCTGGCATATTAGCCATAAAAGCTGTAACTATGCGCATGCTACTCTTATGATGGAGCTGTACTCCTGCTTCTGGTGTAGAAATAGTGAGTTTTTAAACACAGAAACATGCATCCTTGTAAGGTTGAAGTAAAGACTCCTTCGTTGATGAGGTCAGTAGTAGATGAAATTCTTCTACAGGTATCACGTGATACAAAACGGTGATTCACGCCGAAACCAGCATCGGAAGTATGGTCAATAGACATAAAAGAATGCGAATCCACTTTTCGACCAAAAGGCGGCACAAAGGTGAAGAATCTGTACTCAACTCTTGAAGCAGAGACAAATGGCTTAAACTTCTCGTGATGTAAGGTTCCCACAGACAATTGGAGAACCCGAGTATGAACAGGCACTAAGAGACCTTGCGCCGTAGAATTCCCGCTGGTAGAAAGAAGCAGGAGTACATCGGAAGTGTGTAGTGTGTTGATGTCAGCGCCCAGTTGGTGGTGCGGGTGGGTTGCGTTGGGTCGTTGCGTTGCTGCGTGGGTTCACGGGCAGCCACTCCCTCACTCAATCTTCTCCCCACCACAAACCACCACCACCAGACGGTACTTTCCAATACCGCCCTCACCTCAATCCAAACACCTTACCTCCTCCCATCATCCATCCCGTCTTTGCAACATCTCCCCCCACACTTTCTTTCTCAACTACCCTTCCCTTTTGACAAAGGTGGTTAGTTTGTGGTTGTGGCTGTGGCGGTTGCTTTATCGGTGCCCTTTCTTCGCTTTTTGCAGAGAAGATCAACAACCACGAAAATCAATTAGAGACGGTGCAGAGAAGAAAAGGACTGCAAAATCCTTCCCATCGTTCCCCGCCCTTCTGGTTTCGTCAGCACAGGCTGTCAATCCTTTGTCTTCTCCAGCCTGCGATTCACTAAAATCGATCTCTGCCTCAGCTCCGGCCTTGTCTGACGTTGCGGCCCTATCTGACACCACCCCATCCTCTCTTATCTCCACTCCTACATCGGAACTGGAGGTCACTTTGTTATCGTACTCACCTTCGATCCTCTTGGTCGCGGAAAGTTACATAGACGACGACTGCGGAAAAGACTTGTTCCTTATCCTACCGTAACGACGCCAGTTTCTGGTGGCCCCGCTCTTTGATCCCGATCCACCCACTGCTCCACGAGTATTGTCTGTTGGCCAACTGCCCCAGAAAAGGGTGGTTTATTGAAAGAAAATGGTAGACAGGGATCCAGGTACACCTACCTGGAAGTTCACACAGTGAGTTTAGCCCCTCCGACTCCCCTGCTGCGGTTGTTGGGAGGCTGTCCCGCCGATGATGTAACCATCCTTCCCGCTGGTCTCTCTGCCACAAGGATCCGGAAGGCCTTTCCAGTCGCAGTGGTCAGCCTCTCCGAGGTTGTAGGGAAGTGCTAATTGGCTTTAATAGATGCTTTGGTGATAAGGGCGACGTGGAAGATATTACAGAAGGTATGCATAGCACCTTCAACGCATAGAGCTGGATGTACCGAAACATCGCCTTCATGCTAGCGGGTCTCAGTTTATAGTTGCTAACACGGCTTAACCCTCTAGCGGACATTATTTCTACTGTCGAGTTCGATCATACCGGAAACTATCTTGCTACAGGAGATAAGGGTGGGAGAGTAGTATTGTTTGAGCGGAATGAGACGGTACAAACTTTCCTGCAATATTACTCTCCACAGGTAGAAGGTCCTAACCGATTGCCTAGAAAAAAACATGCGAGTATAAATTTCACACCGAGTTCCAGTCCCACGAGCCAGAATTCGACTATCTCAAATCACTAGAGATCGAGGAGAAGATCAACAAGATTAAGTGGTGCAGACGATCAAACTCGTCTCATTTTCTTCTCTCGACAAATGACAAAACGATAAAACTCTGGAAGGTGTTCGACAAGTCGTTGAAGGTCGTTGCAGAAAATAACCTCTCGACTGAGCTTACGCCCGCAGGCGTTGGGGGTGGAGGGGCGCCTCGCGCCCCTCGTTTGTCTTTCAAGGATCCATCAATGTTGAAGCTTCCCAGGATGACACACCATGATACCGTTGTGGCAGCCGTGCCTCGAAGGACGTATGCAAATGCACACGCATACCACATAAACAGCATCTCCGTCAACAGCGACGGGGAAACCTTTATTAGTAGTGATGACCTCCGAATCAATTTGTGGAACCTTAATATTCAAGACCAGAGCTTCAACATTGTCGACATTAAACCCGCAAACATGGAGGAGCTGACGGAAGTTATTACGGCTGCGGAATTCCACCCGACCAGCTGCAATTGGTTTATGTACGCCAGCTCGAAAGGCACAATCAAGCTTGCCGACATGCGACAGCGGGCCCTGTGTGATGAACACCATAAACGTAGGTGTCTGATAATATTGTGCTTGAAGCCCGGACCGGACTGACTGTATTCTTTGCTGTGCAGTTTTCGAACAAGAGGAGGATGCCTCCTCCCGTTCATTCTTCTCCGAGATTATCTCTTCGATTTCCGACGTACGGTTTTCGCATGATGGTCGCTATATTGTGTCGAGGGACTACCTCACTGTTAAAATCTGGGATGTCAACATGGAGCGCCAACCAGTGAAGACAATTCCTATCCACGAACATTTGCGGCCACGCCTGTGTGACACTTATGAGAATGACAGTATCTTCGATAAGTTCGAAGTGGTCTTCTCGGGAGACGCGGAGAATGTCATGACTGGAAGTTACAACAACAACTTTATGATCTACCCTACCGATCCTGCCAAGGAGACTGAGATTGTGCTACAGGCGGATAAATCGGCGTTCAAAGCAAAGAAGGTTGGAGTGCCAACGCCGATGAACAAGGGTGCCAATGGCAAGAAGGGAAATACCCGAGCTGGAAGCCCTGGTGGTCCTGGCAGCCGGATGAAGAAGGAGACCGATGCAGATCAGATCGACTTTAACAAGAAGATCTTACACATGAGCTGGCATCCTTATGAGGATAGTATTGCTATTGCTGCTACTAACAATGTAAGTGGCTTCTGTACCGTATTAATGTCCCATCGCTGTCTATATGCTGACGTTATTGAACCTAAAAGCTTTTTGTTTTCTCTGCATTGTAAGTACGCTACAGGATGGTTCATATTCATAAGTGGACAGGATGTCAATTTCGGGCAAAACATGCATGAAACAAAGTATAAAACAGAAAAGAGGATACTAGCAGCAGCATCCGCAGTACCAAAATTTAAGTTGCCAGTTCAGGTTCAGATTTTCCTTCTACCCTTGTCCATCCCTTTGTTGAATTTTGGCCGTGCATTGGCCGCCGCGAGCCAACCCAACCTATCCTCTAACTCTCCACCACTTTAACGCTCTGACGATGTGTCCGTTTCATTCTTTTAATTCGCAGTGGGACTTGGTGATTCTTTGATGATTCATTTGGGGGCGTTATAATGGGATGTCATAGAGAAAGACGTGGAGCCCCCGACGGGCATCCTTTCCGTTTCTTGCCCAGTTCTGTCTACCTATTGAACAGTCATGAGTGCAACCCACTCATCCGGTGACGAGGAGCAAAGGACCCTCGCCCTAATCATATTG